ATGTGTGTGTGTGTGTGTGTGTGTGTGTGTGTGTGTGTGTGTGTGTGTGTGTACACATGTATTGAGAGAAAGAAATATATATCTATAATACCTAAATATAGGTACTGTATATCTATTTATAAATACATAGATAGATATACATTCACGTAATTCTTCCGAAGTTAGATTGTATAAGATATCTGATAAGCATTCAAATTCTTTAAATTCTAGATAGATGGATGAATTGGTGTAGGAATTGATCAGGTAATGGTTGGCCTGTAATTTTGAAGTACCTGGAGATGACATGTGATGCAGTTTGGCACAAGAAGTCATTTGAATTGAATTGATTTGAAAAATGTAGCCCAGGTCTCATTGAATTTAACTTGAATGTAAACCAGTGAGAAGAAAGGCAACGTATTCAGTTCAGTTGTTAATTTAAACTTTTGAGCCAATTGCAGTTGGACAGACTTTTCTGAAAAGGTTTATCAAACATTTCCACGTGCCAGAGGAAGAGTCCAACATTTCCTTGTGGATTTTTTGATAAATGTTGAAACCAAGAGTTGCTGGCAAACTGCAGGAAAGTCAAATATTGATTGAAGAAATCCAAGAAATGCTCTTCGTTGGGTTTTAAAGGGAGTACATGAAGAGTTTGATACAGCAAAAAATAGAATCGTTTGGCAAGAAGACTGGAACTGACAAATTGCCGGCAGCTGGAATTTAATCCTTGAAATCCTTGTTCTTATCTGTGTCTATGCCTTTACGGTAAATGAACAAATCCTTGTCAGTTGTGGTAAAAATTAGAACAAAAAGGATACAAACCGTCCAAACTTCACTTACATCCAATAGTTGTCTTGTGTGGGATCGCTTTATGACAGTTTCTGACATTGACAACCAGCTTCAGAGCTAAAACAAAAACCCAACCTTTGACCCGGGCCTGAATCTGATAGACCAACACGAACTAAAATGTCACGTAAGAGTCCAACCAAAGGTTTATCCTAAGAAATGAAAACTATTTCGGCCCTTGGCAGTGGAGTAGGTTCTCTGCTTGGAGAATAACCGAGGGTATTACACAGGCTGATGAGATGAGCGATGGATCATTACCACACCGCCTTCCCTCCCTGACAGGTTTATCTCGTGTCAGATGGAGTTCACAAGGGTACCACCCACATGGCAAACTTATTACCTACTTAAATTGATTAACAAGTACGTGAGGGACGTATCGCTAATCTAAATTGATTGCGCTTCAGATGAATAGTCCGACCCGGTGCCACAGCGTAAAAGGCACAGGGTGTAACAAAACGTCTCTCCTCATCCGCCCCGCGATCAACCCGCTATTATTTCTGTTACCTTAATCTTGGGAAACATCTGTTCCTGGATGCGATCACGTTGTTCTTAAACACGATTGCGTATTCCCTCTCTTGGGAAGGTGCGAGTCAGACAGTGATGAGGAGTTTTTTTTTGTTTGAAGCTGTTCGAGGAGTTCTTTTGGGATGTGGGGAATCGCCCACATCCTCAAAAACGGGAAGAAACCGAACTTTGGTCTTAAGATTTAGGTTGATTTGGGCGTTTTTAGCACTCAGTCGTGGTCATGAATCGGCTGTGATGCAGCTGAGGGGGACGTGCGTGAGAGAAATGGCCTTTGACGTAAACAGCGAGAGCGCGGGTGAGTTATTTATGTGAGGACGGACGGGCCGGGTGGGATCTATGAAGGCATCTCAGCGAGTTTCTGGTGAGCGTGTGACGCAACGCATCTGCTGGGTTCTGTGTCCGAACACGTGCTCTGCGCTGGGAGCCTCTGGGAAACTCCAAAGCATCGGCGCAACACATCATCTATCAGGAGAGTAGACAGCCATGTTTGAATTCGTGCACAATGACCCAAGAACACCAAGCCTCTGGGAAGAGGAGGGGGGGGGGGGGGGTATTGTTGTTTAACAGCTATTTAAAGATTGGTGTCCTCATCGTGCCTATCCCTGCTTATCCTCCTTTGTGTTTTCTTTTCCTTTTTTAAAAATTTCTGCCACCTGTTTTGACAAGCCTCTTATTAAGCTTCCATGATTTGTTTACGCTCTCACTTTCCCTATCTCCAGGACACAGATGACTCTGTGAATCCCACGCCATTATGGTACGTACGACAACGCCTCAGAGGCTTTTATTTCTACCACTTATGGATAAATTGTGTGTTGCTACAGGCACCAGTTTGGATTTACAGCAGATTCACTTTAAAGTGTGATTTCGCTCGTGCAAAGAGGGGCTGTTACGATTGAAATATGGATGAAAAATGGATGGATACTGTCAGTAAATGCATTTCAGTCGCGGTGAACCGCCTTTCTCTGGGGACGTTCGATAGCTCTCTGCCTTCAGTCTGTAGAACCTCCGACACAGGGACACAGGGAAAATATGGGCACGGCGAGGACAAAACAAAGTTGTAACCCCCTGGAACAAGTTGTATCGGCTTGTAAACACAACTTTTGACGTTACATAACAACTCTGGCCTCTGGGTTGGAAGGGATTGTGGTGCACAACAATGACTCCGAAGTCTGCGAGCCCATATTTTAGTCCCTTTTTTACTCTAAAAGTTTCCTTCCATGTCTTTGGTTGCCTTGTTCCTTTAGTTTTCCGACTCCTGGGATTGTCTGAGTGGCTCTAATTGTTGCCACTTGTGTCTCGTCAGCCTGTGTGTGCGCAGAATTATTGCCGTCTCTTCCTCTGCCTCACAGCAGGCTACTTCATTGCAATATTCTTTTTTTTTTTTTACAGCCAAGGTTCAGTCAGGTTTAGTTTTTTTCATGCTGGCTTTTCCTGTCTGTCTCCCACTGCTCTGGAAAAAGTTAAGTGTACTCTCCCCCAATGTCCTGCATGCATTTGTGTCCAATTGAATGCGTTGTCATATTCCGCTGAGTGTTTGTGCTATAAACCAGGATATGTTTCCTAACATAAGGGCCAGAAGATCACCGACATACAGAACTCATTTCTGATAATTTTCCTTGTACACAAAGCTGTCTTTACAATCTTATTTAGACGCCATTTATAAGTGATTTAATAATCCAAATCTTCGATCCAAATTTATAAATGCAGCTTTGTATATACAGGAAAAACTCCTACCTTTCTTTAATCCCCCCAGCCAGAAGGTATTTTTTTCATCCTAAATCATGTTGTTGACATGATGTAATTAATTCAAGTAGTTACATTACATTCCTCCAACCATTTTTTTTATCACTCAACACCAGTTAAGCCTTTTGTTGGTTTTCGACTTTTTTATTATTTCCAGACATTTTGCTTCCAAATTCTTTAGGAGCAAATATGTTTCATTAAATATAAAACGTTTTCTTGTCTCTGTTGTGAATCAAAGGGATTTATATTTAAAATATAGTTTTACACAGCGTACTGTACTCACTGAAATTTTAGCACAGCAATATTACAACAAAACAAATCACGGGGATTTCCGTTTGCATAACAATCAAGCCCCACGTGTCAATGAGTCAACGCAAAAAAAAAAAAAGATTCCACAACTGTGAACAGTGAAAAGAAACTAAGATGTTGCCCAATAATGCTAAGTACAGTACGTTCTGTGAACGTGAGGTGGGTGGCCGCAATTACATGCTGCATGCATCATAGCTGCCATGACCCCAAACAAGATGCCTGGAATTTCTCACTGACACAGTCGATGGGATTTTCTTTCCTTCTTCAAAAGAATGAATTAAATAAATGCGAAAAAAAAGATAGTTTGCATTTTGTTTACACGGTATATATAATCAGGATCTGCTGCCCTGGCCGGGATGCCCTGATATGAGAGCTGAAGGGCAAACAGAAATAGATTAATCACAGTTTGGGGCCACCTTACTGATAATGGCTCACAGAGTACTCCAGTTTGGCCTTTTACCCAATTACAGTCCTCCCCCTCTTTCCGTCATGCTCTTGTTGTGTATGGGATTGACTCACTGTCCTCAGCCCTTCGTACCAATCCATAGAAGAATGAGGGGGAAAATAATTCTGATTCCATGAAACAAACTTAGTGTTTACTCCTAAAGTACACGAATCAGTGTTTATGTAAAACGCACAACAGTCTTAGCTTGTGGTTCCCGGGTTTCTACACACTAAAGAATGCCCTCGAATGCTAGACTCCGACACACAGCTGGAGACTTTCAAAAAAATGTTTGCGGGGCCTTTTAGAACTCTGACTCTCCGCTGGGTAGATTATGGCTGAGTGAAAGGTCATCAGCTTACAAAAGCTGTCAAAGCTACGGGCTTCAGACTGCACAGCCTTCCCTCTATCTGTTCCTGTCAGCCCCACAAGGGTTAAGGTCAGAGAATGATCCCACTTAAAGTTAATAAAAAGGTAAACACTGCTTAAAGGTGTGTTGAGCCTCCCGTCTGCTTCGATGAGATCCAGACAGGCCTTACTTACCTCCATGTTATGCAATGGACACTGTGCTTGCAGGATTTATTCTGCATACTGCACATAATTCAGGAGTCACAAGACTGCCCACGGAATCAGGTTTACATTACTTCCCTCACAGCAGTCAATGCCATGAGGAATTTCTTATCTAATTCTATTTCACTTGACAGATATCTTTGTGCAAATGGGGAAAAAACTCCCACGCCTTGCGTCCGAGATTATATTAATTATTAATGCTGCAGATATGATGGCTACTTATCCCCAAAAACAGGAAACAGGAAGCAGCCTAACCTCTGTCCAGAAGGAAATGCAGTACGGAGCCATCTATTTTTCTCTTTTAGTCTGACAGTGTACCTGAGTCAAATTGTAGGAGTGTACCACCATTATTTCAGTTTTAACTTAAAGAAAAAGCTTTAACAGCATACTCGCCGAGTGATCTGTCAGCAGGTTACCGAAGTGACAACCCGCTGCCTCACTTGATATCCAAATTTTAATCTCGGCCAACACAGTTGGTGGCAAAAAAAGTTCCTGCGTGTCATGTGAAGAAATGAATAGCTGTGAAACAGATCCTATGTTTATGTTCCTCTCCCGACATAGCAAAAGAAGAAAAAAAAAACCCTGGATGTTTGCCACATTTTCTCTTTGTACATCCATCCAACATGTGAGTAGCCCTTGGATGTGAATCATCATTTGTCATGCGTGTTGTGGCCCCAGAATTATTATTCTTACTCCGTGGTATAGCTGTCAAGGTGTTCTGAATTGAGCTTTTTTCTCTGGCTGTTTCTAACAGTTTAGAGTCGAAAGTCAGAGACAGTGTTGTTATTTATGCAGCTTCTGTCGATTCATATATGGAAATGTTTTCTGTTAGAAAACGGTGAAGCCGAAAAAAGCGGGATGTTATGCCCATGAGAGGAGGACTGCATCCAGGCTGGAAAAGAAAGTGTTCTCCCAACGATCTGTCTTCCATCAACGACCGGCGCGAGATCCGGTTCACAGAGAGAACTGCTCACAGTCACACACGGCCAACACACACACTCACAATCACACACACACTCACAGCTGTAAGGAATTTCATCCTCATCTTTAATACGAATACGTTAACACAAAACCTGAATAGTCAAACAATTTACCCTCCGCTGTTTTTCTTCACAGCCTTTATATGACCCTATATGTAAGGAACGATTTAGGGGGAGGACGGCATTTTTAGAAGACAGCAGTGTTTCAAAAACAATACGACCACACAGGCTGTGATGGGGGTTTAAAGGACGGAAAACAGGCTTTTACCTGAGACATTCTATCACATTTTGTCACGAATATTATACAGTCTACATAATCTTAGCATTATAATATATGAAATGAAATATTGCTTAATTGAAAGATTTAACAGATAACAAGTCGGTGAATTTTACAGTGAGATATTTTGTTATCACAGGCTGTTTCATTCATGCTCTTACCCTTAGATTTACTTACTTGAATAACAGTTAGCACGGCCAGATGAAAATGACTGACTTAGCATAACAGACGCTACTTACATTTAGCAGGAACAGGGATTTAAGGGACAGAACGATCACATTTCCCTTTATAACAAATGATGTAATGTATCTCTTGCTAAAGGAGATTTTAAAAAAAGAAGTGTTCTCCAGAGAGGAGAACACTTTTGGACAGGCCAAAATACCCAACTAACACCTTTCAATGCCGGTTAATGAGCCGGTTTGGTCCCAAGTGTCAAACAATGTGAAAACCTATATTTGCGGGGGTTTTATCGACTGGAAATGTTGAAGAGGGACCAAAAACAATCTGCAAAGTTCACTTTTTCTTTACTGAAGCTTCTCTTTACGAGCTGTAATGAGTCACATAGGAGCTCTGAAACAACATGTGCTTCACACTTTTTCATTAAAAATGCACAATTTAGAGTTCTTAAGGTCAAGACGATTGTAGTTGTTTGTCTTTGCCTCACAGACATATTTCACAGACATGTAACTTTTAAATAACTGAGAACTGACTGCTGAAGGTTTCAACCTATTGGTCGTACAATAACCTGTTGACAAATAATGAAAATCCTTGCAATTCTATTGTATAAAACCTTAAGATAATTCATTCTAATCCTCTCTGTGGTAAGTGGTAAACTGAGAAACATGCATTCAAACTTTCTATTTCAACTAAAACTACTTAAACAAAATAAAAGGTGCAAAATAAAAGAAACTCCTGAAAACAACATTCTTATTATTTAATATAAAATCTGATTGGATGATAAGATTAGATCTGGTAAAGTGTTTATTTGGGCATATTCATTTCCCTCTTTTGTTCAAACAGGAAACATATCAAAGTCGGACTTAGGTGACATGCAAGATGCAACATCAGACTAAAGGTGTTGCCGAAAATGGAGTGTGAGATTAGATAGGAAAGATAAAGCCAAATACAAAACAGACTGAAGCTCTTTGATTTGAGTTGACGTCTGGTTATTTTCCAGGTAGCACCTCGAAAAGTCCTCGGAGTCGTTTGAAATGTGAGCGACTCGTGGCTTTCCTCTTAATATCTCTGTGTCACGCCACACAAGGAGTCGCATGAGTGATCACTGATGAAGATGCCTCTCCGTGGTGTCTTCCGTATAGATATCAGTTATAGTTAGATAATAGGTATTTTTCTCTGCTTGGGGTTGGACGACAGGCTTTTGCCAAATTGTTCCCCTTAGAATGAAGCCTGTGAGTCACAATTAACCATTAAAAGTTAAATATTATGAGAATGTGAGGCTGTTTCCTTAGAAACTCACACTGACTTCTTTGGGGAGAGCTCACAAAACGAAAAAGAAATCTGTAGGAAATGAAATTTCTATTACTGTGTAAATATTTTCCAAAATCTTGCATGATTACCGCCACGCCTTATCTCTCTACATGGCTGCGTTTCTCTCCGCTTTTCTTTTCTCATGGCTAGACCAGAGCCCTATCTGTGAGTAACCCCCCCCCCTTACCGACTCTCTCTAAGGGCCCATTAAACAGACCCATGACCTCTGCAAGAACAATTTTACACAAAACCTATAATCCTCCTAGATTTACTCTGCTTATCTTGTCCCAGTGTTTCATTTTATTTGACTAGTTTAGCTCCTTATCAGATGTTGATAAATCTGCATAAAAAGTTCATTGTAGTGGTCCGCATTCTTTGTTGTTTCTCATATTTTGTCATATGCGGTGTCCGTGAACATCTTACATGAATAGCATCTGTAAGGTTTAGAAAACGGTTGTCTGTGTATCTCCATGTCCGATTGCCTTTTTCCCTTTGGTGAATAAACACAATTACACTTGAATACACTTGAATCTGGCCAAGAACCTAATTAAACTTACTTTATAGGTGTTCTGCAAACTTACCATTTCACCACCCATCTACTAAATAATTGGGTTCCTTTGCTAATTGTAAATGAACCTATTTAACCTATTTGTTATCAAGATCAATAAACATGATATCCTCTTCAAAATGACAAAAGCAACACGTGTCCGAAGAAAAAACGGGAAAAGTAAATGCTTCAAAACAGAAAAAACAGCAGCCATTATGCAACTTAGCAAAAGTTCTGATTTGTGTGGAGCACTTCCAAGATGCAGAGTCTCTCAGATTTAGATATGGTTAGAAAATTGCCAGTCTGCTGAGCCCTCAGCATTAGAAATCATTAACACATGCACGTTTGAGTCATGATCACTGCATGGTCTCCAAAAACACTTTGGTACCAGCAAATTACAGGAGAAAGCTCTATCATGCTAAACAGACGTTACATTTGAATATGAGCCAGAAATAACAAAGCTTGTGTAATAACAGCTTCTTTGGCCGTGCATCCTGAATTTGAAATTGTTTCTCTGAATTACTGATGCCTTGAAAGAGGAAATGGAGCCTGAAGATAAGGGAGTGCATTAGGGCCTGTAGGATGACCAACTTACACATTTTGATAAGGCGCAATTCCAGTCATTTTCAGGGAAAGACCTTGTACACTTTAGGAAGGCATTGGTTAAAAGAAGAGAGAAGTGTAGACAATGGTAAACATGGGCCTGTTGCAACACTTAACAATATGTGTTGGTGCCATCAAATTGAAAATGAGCAATAATGCTTTAATGGAGTAATACTGGTTGTTTTTCACCTCTATAAGGAAGTGGAAGTGTCCTTTAGAAAGGCCAGTAATCAGACTCCAAATGGAACTTTCTCTTTTTTATCTTTTTTCTGAGTTGAATAGTTTGGACATGTTGAAATAGGCATTTTTGTTTAGAGTACATTCACCCTAATGAAGTGGGGAGAAGCATTTACATAACACAGCACAAACCAGCTGTCCACAGGCTGGAATTTCTTTTAATTTCTTTCTCTTTTTTTGCTTTCCTTTCCCCCCTTTACAATATCAGAGCGGACCTGTTTGCTGATAA